TCCCATTTGTCTTTCTAAGTGAGGATTGATCATCTTACCCTGGGTCCTCTTTTTTGTTTATCTTCTTTAGGTGTACAGATTTCATTATGTTTATCCTATCTTATAGGTCTAATACCCACTTATAATTGAGTATATACTGTGTGTGTCTTTTTGCTCCTGGGATACCTCACTTGGGGTGGTCTTTTCTAGATCCCACCATTTGCCTTAATGCAACCCCTGTGAAAGAGTCCTTTGACTTCAAATGGGTCACGACCCACAGGTTGAGAACATCTGCAGTAGAAGCTTAACTATATCCTTCAGATGGAACTCTGAGCTCCCTGAGCAGAGACAGTTAAACTAGGACATTAACACTGCGAAGGCACATAGTAAGGGTTAGGATAAAAGGAAAAGCATCCATGGCTGAGGGAATAGCCTGTGTTAGGATTCTAGGCAAGAACAGGCTCAGACACTGCAGGGAGCTGGGGAGGCAAGCATAGCTGAGTGTAGAGAGCTTGCTACTGAATCCAAGTTGAACAGTAACCTCTAGAGCTGTGTACCATGATAGCCCTGTCGTGCCAATAGATGCAGAGCTTTCACAGATCTGACAAGGAGTTGCAGTGTGATCAGTTCAGTTGTTACAAATGCAAAATATTAGGCAAGAAATTTGAGGCTTAAAAACGCTTGGACCGTCATCATCAGGCATGGTCAGGAAACAGAGTAGATAGCATTTTGAGTTCCTTCTACTTCATGGATCCAGGAAGCTTCATACAATCAAACTTTCTTAGAAAGCTCTGATCCTGAAAAATTCTAAGAAAAGTAAGATATCTACATTCCTAATATACTTCAAGAAAAGTCTTACTTTAATACTTCAAGAAGAGTCTTATGTACATGGGAAAAAATTAACAGGAATTTTGGGTTGTTGCAGCAGTAACTGAATTAGCTAGATGAAGAATTTTAATATGCTTGGCCTTGGGAGAATGGCAGAAGTCATGCTGACTAGAAACAGTCTTAGAACATAAAACATAGCTTCAATGGCAATGTTGTGAGCCCTAACTTCTCAGGACTAAGAAGCCAGGTGAAGTGGTGATTTTCCTTTGTAAACTCTGCGGCAGAAACTATGCCAACCATGGTGACAAGGAGAGTGCCCTGAACACTGAGGCTGTCTCATGTGCACTGGGCTTAGGAGCTTCCCTGGACACCATGGGACAAGATATAACAGTGGCAGGATGAAAGCAGCAAGACAGTGAAAAAGCAAAAGACAACAGGGGGATGAAGTCAGAAGGGGTACAAACAGGAAGGGAGGAAGGTTCTGGGCCATTTCAGTAAAGCCCACTCATACCCCCATAACCATGGAACTTAAATAGTGTTACAAATGATTTAAAAAGTTAAATGTAGCTCAGTAATAGGGCAATGCCTAGCACCTCTCAGTTCCTAGATTTGGACCCAAGAGCTATAAGAAAATAACAATTCTTTGAGTGAAAGAAGAAAATTTCATTCATTTTTCCATTTTGTCAGTAAAAAATAAGTGTATGCGTATGTGTACTGCCCTTTAAATGTATAAAGATATCTGTAGGCATAAGGCTACTGTAGAATTCAAATGCTGATTTCTATACCTTCCCCCCTCCCCATACCTGGTTGCAGTCCTTGTTCTGAGAATCTCCTGTCTCAATATTGTGTAAACACTGCTCCCCATTTGTCCCCTGGTATGCCAATAAGGCAGCTTACAGCTAGTTTTGATTAGGGGAGAGAATAGGGCTAGAGTTTCTGTCAGCCAGAGAAGGGGAAGTTAGAAGATTAAGGGGGGATTCAAAGACAGAAGAGGTCTAAGAGACATCAGGAGAAGAGGCTGGAGGAGGAAAGCCACAAAGCACAAGTATCTCTAGGATGTATGCTGGGAGGAAGCCACATTAGCTCAGAGGGTTAAGAATAGAGTAATATCTGATCCTAGTCTATCAGGTTTCATCAGGACTGGCTGCATTGTCTTCCTCTGTGGCCTGGTATGGCTGTCCACCTCCCCCCACGGGGAGGTTATCAGAGAGCCAGGGAGGAGGACCTTCCCTATTAGTGGACTCAGGGAGGAGCATGGAGGAGAAGAAGGAGGGAGGACAGGGTTGAGAGGGGATGAGGGAGGGGCTACAGCTGGGATACAAAGTGAAAAATTATAATAAATAAAACAATTTTTTAAAATGGAAAAGAAAGACTAGAGTAATAACTGATCAGTTATCATCTTGTGAAGCTTATTATTATTTGTGTGATAGCTGGTTTAAGATAGAAACTGAGAAACAAACACAGTTTTATAAAAATAACTGTAACAGACATCATCTTCATCAGAGCAGATGCAACTATTTGCAAAAGACCCCTAAAATCCAGCTTCTTGACTATTGGGGCTCCCTCATAGGAGAGAACAAGGTAGGTCACTGGACCTTTACCTGAGATTCCCCCTGCAACTTCTGTATACAATTCTAACCTAATTCCATGTGACTTCATGTCCTAGGAGGTATGAGAGAATACAGACTATGGAAGCTTAACTGAGGCAGTGGTGATGGGAATGACTGCTGCTGGCATGACTGCTCCCAGGTCACCCATGTTCCTGTAAGTAGTCCAATAAGCTCCTTGTTTCCCCAAGTTAGACAATGATGGAATTATATGTTGTTTTTGTTGGTGGTTTTGCATAAGAAGAGAGTTGGTTTATAATTTTTACCCCAAGGGAAAAAGCTCCCACAATACACACTCTCCCTCCAACCCCCTTTATGTGTGCACACATTCTTACAACACACTTGCTAATGAATTTGAGGATCGCTCTGTAATACACTGCTAGACACAGATGTGTATTTCCAGAAAGAACCCATGGAACTACGCCTGTAGTAATTTAGGTATGAATGTTTTAAATGCATAACAATGCAAATTGTTAATACTGGGTCAAATGCAGCTGAAAAGCATTTAAATTGCTAATGGCAGTCCAGCTGTTACTGAACCCAATTTTCACTGTTTGAAAGATAATTTAATTGCATAGCTTCAAAATTAAAATAATCTGAATATAAAATGTACTTTATGGAAATTAGTCCTGTATTTTTTTTTAATTTCTTCTAACTGAATTTCCACAAATCTACAGTGAAACTAACAATGGATTTTCTCTTTTAAACACATTTCTTTATATATAGGGTAACTAAATATTTTCTATAATAAATGCTGTGGTAATTACAGAAATTTCATTGATAGTTTGCTAGAGTTATAGGGAAGGGTACACAGATCAAACCTAATAAGAAGTTTTTTAAAAAGTCTTCTGTCATATATTATATACTGACTGCAGTTTCCTCTCTGTCCCCTTCCCCAAAGTCCCCACCACCTAAGTCACCTTCCCTCAGAAAAGAGCAGGCCTCCCGTGGACATTAATCAAGCACAGCATAACAAGCTACAGTAAGACAGGCACGTACCATCACATCAAGGCTGGACAAGGCCACCCAGTAGGGGTAAAGGGTCCCAGAAGTAGGCAAAAGAGTCAGGAACATCCCTGCCCTAATTGTTAGGATTTCTACAAGAACACCAAGCTACTCACTCAGTTATAAAATATTGTAGAGCAAGTGCAGGCCACACTAGTAAGAAAAGCAGGAGAGTAATAAGAACATTTGCATGACTCTGTACCCGAAAGAATACAGACAGGAGCAATAGGATGAGCACCAAATGTGAGACAATCTTGAGTAACAACCCACATGAAAAGAACTGGGTGTTGGGGACACTAAAAAGGCTGTACTACAAGTCCTACTGTGTGAACTCCATGGAGGCATCAACTCTATCTGAAGGAGAAATCTTTGTAATAAAATCTGAGGATTTCTTGTAAATCAAGTGATAAACAACCAGCCACTTCCTTCAGGAGGATTATTTTAAGTTTTGCTCTTTGATACAGAACTGGAAATAATGCTAAAATAAATTTCTGAGGAAAAAAAATAAACTATAAACTGTCATATTCCATCACACTTAATGTGAATGAGCACAGTCTCTAGGATAAACTTCATTACTATTCCTGTTTCTAGAGAATGGAAAGATCTTTTCAAAAATAACTTTTCCCCTAAAATCTCTTACCAAAAATTAAGTTTTCTATCCAGTGCTTAGAACTAGTTGTGTAGTTTCAGATTCAGCTCTGCACAACCTTGGTGCTTTGGAGATGTGCCTATACCTCAGCGTACAACCTCAGCATCTCAGGAGATGAAGGCTTCAATGACAGGGGCGATGAACACAGTGATGCAGAAGGCAAAAAGGCAGTGCTACTAGTGTAAATCTGTGTAAGTGTGTGTTACCATTTCATTCTCAAAACCACCCCTAAGTTGGTAGGTCGACTCTCCTCCTTCTCTTACGGAAGCTGAAATGGACACATATGGAGGTTAAGTAATTTGTTCAAGGCCACATATATAAATAAAGCAGTTCTTTACATCCGGAGCCCAAAGATTTTTAATAACTACACCATTACTCAACTACTACTTAAGAAAACACAACATCCAGACAATAGAAACCCCACTCCCAGTAGTCTGCAATTGTTACAAAGGCCTGAGGGTGGACAAAGACTTCCACTTATACTGTGCCATCTGAAAGACACTGGGATAGATCAGGGGCACAATGAGTCAATTGTATGGCTTTAGGGGGACACCATAAGAAAAGAAGCTAAAAGCTCAGATTCGTATCCAAATCCTGACCCAGATATATACTAATATTCATGCTTCTTAATCTCTAAATTTCTCCTACTATAAAATGAAAATAATAGTACCCATGTCAGGACATTAAACTATACAAAAATAATGAATATTATTCGGGGGGGGGGCAATGTTAACCATTACTTTTATGGACTACATGGAAACTAAGCAAAGCTTTGGAACTAGGTCCGGCAAAGAGCCACAGAGTTTCTCCATTTTTATGCTTCTGGGAATGAGTCATCTAGATGACTATCTGATCCTTAGCTAGTCAGTAATATCACTGGCAAGAAACAGGGATAGGCTGTCTCTGCCTTGCAGGGAAGGGGCATTACTGACCGAGCTGATGGTGTTGGCTCTGTGACTTGTCGCTGCACGCGGACGGCATGGGCACAGTTCTCTTGGCCACCTGGCTGGGTGGAGAGGGGAATGTCAGGGGAAGTGTGGCTGATCTTCATGGAGGAGTCGGGGCAGGGTGTGGGTGGGTCTAGGAAGTCCTCGCTGTTCTCCTGCTCATTCGTTTCTGTGTCTGTGTAGTTAAGAGGCTCTTGGTTGTTGTCTTTGCTACCAGAGAACAGGCCTCGCTCTCGCCATGGAACCCAGCACAGTTTCCAAGAAACGAAGAGAGAGACACCGAATAGGGCAAGACCACAGGCGGTAACCACAAGGGTTAGCAGGCTCACAGAGATATCTGCAAAGAAGAAAAAGGAGAAGTCAGTGTGGTGATGTCTCTCATGGCCACCCACTGTATGGTCCACACAGAAGGACCATCTTATCCACTCATTCTGAAGGACCTGACTCTGAAGACCAGGATGGAAGATGCTGCAGTGTTACCTGACAACAAAGATTCAGACATACACCAGAGGCTCCAAGAGCAAGGGGAAAAAAAAGATTGCATGCAAGTTGTAGAAACACAAAACACTGTGTATTTAAGGAGATTCTGAGTGCCCTGCAAGTCAAATGAGACTGTCCTTCAGGAGGCACCTATCATTCAAGTTTTCTGAGAAGGAAACTTTTGCCTGTCTTTTAAAATTACCCTGTCATCTCAAAGAGCCATAAATTTAGGAATTAAACCACATTTTCTTTCTGTTAAGTTTTTAAGGGTCTAAGATGATGTGTTTAGTAGGCTTTGTAGCATCAAGAATACCTACCATTTAGGTCTTCTGAAATCAGACAGACTGGCATAGTTTGAGTTTCCCCAGATCCTGGGGCATCTATTCAAGAACAAGAGGTTCTCTTAGAAGGTGAGGAAAAAACACAGACAGGAAAAGTTGGAGAAGTGCCAGTATGTGGTGGATCTTCAAGCCAGTTATCTCAGTAGGGGCTACAGGTTAAGCTGCTGGAAGGGAGCCATGTGCCTCAGAGCCATCCCACTTCACTGAAGAAGTGAAGGTCCTGGGCAACTCCACCCACTCCATTCCATCATGGACTTGAAGGCAGCTATAGAGAACATTTAATAGCAGCACTTCAGCATAAAGCATAGGAGGAAGAATGAGTTTCAGCTGATATTGAAAAATTCTACACTGAAGCCAATACTGGAGCTAGAGTGGAGGAGGTGTGCAGGCAGGCCATGAAGGGACGAGGGCTGGGGTACAGCAGGCAAAGATGGTGACTGTATGTGGACCATAGTATCATGGCCATGCAGTATTCCAATAGCTATGCTCATATCTGTCAAGGCAGAGTGCAGTCTCTGCCAAGTTCCTGCCTCAAAGCAGGGTCAGAGAGACCGAGGCATGGATCTGATCCCATCCCTGATACCACTACTCTAAAGGATGCCCCTACATGTCCGTTCTGTGTCCCAGGACCCCAAAAACTATACCCAGGTTTTGCCTCTTTTGGTCATTTTAAAAATCTGCACTGCTTCTCCTAGAATATCTCCATCATGTGACAGAAAATGTGCTAGGCTTTGGAGACACAGCAGGAGGGCAGACGTCATAACTTCATAGGTTCTTTTTCTGGAGAAATTAAAAAAAAAATCTGCACTCACAAGTGTACTGTGATTTGGAACAAGTCATATTCCTAGTAAATCACGTAGGACCTACACCACTTACCCACTGAATAAAGCTGCCCAACTACCAGTCACGTTTTCCACCACGACTTTGATTGTTCTTACAAAACGATAATCGTTTTGTCAGGAAAATTGTTCTTGAGAGGAGCCAGCTGCCATGCTGCTGATGGATCAAATGGATGCCCCCATGCCTCCCAGTCAATCTTTGCTGTGGTAAAACAATATAACATGTCTGCTTGTAACACAGGGATTCCTGTTTCAATGCTGCAATTGAGCTAAAATCTCACTGAAACAAGGTAATCAGTTTCCTATCAGGAATAGCATCATTCCAAAGTAACATGAAGGAATTTCTGGACATTGTTGTAGAAAAGCCAGTCAGTGTCAAATACTAACCAGTGAAGGGCACTAATCAAACCGAAAAAGTCCTAGCCACTGGGGATGTAACTTAGATGATAAAATGCTTGCCCAGTATGCAAGGTCCAGGACTAGATCCCCAGCACTGCAGGGATCATACACAGTGACACATGCTTGTAGTTCCTGAAACTGGGAAGCCAGAGACAGAGAATCAGGAGTTCAAAGCCATCCCTGCCTACATAGTGGGTTTAAGGATGATTAGGATGACTACCGCCTATGTCAACAAAACAAACAAAAACAACAACAAAAACAGGTAGAGAGGTGGGCTGGCACATGGCAGGGGGAAGGTTGTACTACTGGCGGAGGCAAAGTGAAGGAGTTAGGCATTTTGCTTTATAGATACCCAACATGGTTGGGGCAGTGAAGAACAAGGTGTGACCTCAGAATCCACTTGGCTATGACATCTCACATAGTGAGGTCTCCGCTGTTGCAGACTTCTACAACAGCTAGGGTTCACTGTACCTGGCATAGCAAACATTAATCCCCAGCCCCAAGACCACATAATAGAATCTGAACACAGACCAGGCTACACATGTGGGTCAATCTCTTAGCGCATTCTGCATTCCACACACAGGCAAAACTCATCAACTATTGTAGCTTTGTCCTGATAAACGCTACAAGGTGAGCGGCTGCACAGGCTGGAGGAGGAGCATGGTGGAAGACAGTGGGGTTAAGACTGTGATGGGGTCGGTGTGTATTACTTATTGATCATTCTCCCCTATCATAAGACATCGCTCCATGGAATCAGTTTAAACCAGAATTCTCTGTGTTGGTCTGGGACACTGACTAGTTCTGCCAACGGAAGCTGAGCCAATATAGATCATCTACCACAGACCAGACTCTTCAGCTTGGACATAGTGCACGAAAGTAAGAGCTTTCTCTATTGCTCATGTTAGGGCTCATCTTCAAGCCTGTATGCCCTAAGAAATGATTTAGGGCACAGCTCCAAGTCTAGAATAAGGAATAAATTTAACCCTGACTCACAGCCTGTGGCAGAGTTGCAAGTGAGATACAGGTTCATGAGCAAAACCTAAGGAGTTGGTATTTTGAGTCTATGATTTTAAAAGGATTTGTTGTCATGGCAAAAAAAAAAAAAAAAGTTGGCCAATATACGTGACCATAGACCTGGGATGCTTTAAAGAAAAACAAAGGACTGTATTATAATTACTAAACAGGGATAAGACCATTAACCCTGGGTTGTCCAGGGTAAACTAAGGCATAAGATTGTCTAGACTTAGGAATTTAATGTGGTGCTGGAGAAATGGCTCAATAATTAAAAATATTTGCTGTGCAATCATGAGGACAAAATGTTGGATCTCAAATACACACATAAAAAGCCAGGCATCCTGATCCAGTTTGGAGGGGGCCAGAAATAGGGGTGTCAATTGGGGCTTCCTCACTTGCTGACGAAACATGATGCCCAAGTTTGAAGAAAGATTGTCACAAAGGACCAGGGGAAGAGTAATAGAGAATACATGGCACTTTCTTCTGGTCTCTCTACACATGCACAGGTACATATGCATATATATATATATGTATATATGTATATATATGTGTGTATATATATATATACATACATACACGCACACACATGAGGGTATATACACACACATATACACACAGAAATAGAAAAAGAAAATAAAAAGGAATTCAACATGACAAGCCAGGGACAGTGACACATTCATCTACTTTCTGCACTCAGGGTGGCCGAAGAAAGAGGAACATCATAGTTACATACTAGCCTAGTCAACATGGCAGGCTTCAGGGCAGCCATGGCTACATAGTGAGATACAGCACATAAGCAAGCAAACAAAAAAATAAGTAAATCCCATATATGCCCTGAGCTCATTTGGCTTAGTACACTACCTCTCAGGGTTCCACTGGCAGACAACATGTCAAATAACACAAAGCCTGACCTACTTTTACTAGTAGTCATCAGGCCTCTGACCCAGTTCATAACAATTCCAGCTTGCTAAATGGCTTTTAGGCTATGCTTTCCAAAAATCAGCTTGCTCATAAGTGCAGTCATGGAGCAGGAAACATGAAAGGAGAGAGCTTGTCTCCTTAAACACCAAATGCCAAGCATTTCAAAGAATTCCTGGCACAGATAAGGCATTTGCTGCCGATGAAGCTCAGCTGGGGAGCTCTGCAGCCACTTGCTGTGTACACCCTGAACTGCGGAAGGGTAGGCTGTATAAACTCTGGAACTTGCTAGGATCTTATGGATTCACAGTTTTATAATGGTGTGTGTGTGTGTGTGTGTGTGTGTGTGTGTGTGCGCGCGCACACGCGCTGTCATTACAAACGGCAAGAGTAAGGTTTTCATATTTACACATGACACCAGGTGAGTTAGCAGTGCTTCAGAACACCTGGCAGGATGCCAGAGAGCAGTGGCCCACATGACCTCACCAGCTCCAGCTTAACCATCTGAGTGTCTGTTACCAACAGCTCAACGTGTCTCTAGTCACTGTGTTTGTACTTTTCTCTATTGCTAAAAAAGAAGGTTGAATCACTAAATCCACTCCCATCTTCTTGTAACTCGACCTCAACAGAGGGCTATGGCGATGGGAGAGTCAGCATAGAATCACAGAACATTTTTAAAGATACAATTTATATCTAAGTTAGGCAATTGGTACATGGTCATTTGCTTTATAAACTTTAAAATTACAAATATATTCATAACATATTCATTGGCATTTAGGCATATTTTAAAGATGAAAAATAATAGTGATAATAAAATATAATGAGAGGTATTTTTTAAAGAATAAGAACAGGGTAATTGGTCCTTTTGTCCATGGAACAAAAAATAATCAGATGATGGTTCAGGCCTTGAAAAAGGCAAATGCTACAGTTCTCTGAAGGCTGGTAGTGATTAGGGCCGGGGTCTGTATATGAAAGTGTAGTAGGATCGAGGTAGCATTTTCTCAAGGGTGGAGATGTGAAATGCAATGCCCTGCTACTAGGTCTTAATCAATGCTCATGATGTACTGTAATGGTATGTCCCTCCACACCACACAAAATGTTCTAACATAGCATCCCAGCAAACAAGTATAATTCTAAAGGACAGCTGCAAATTTTTAAAAGTGAAAAGTACTTTCGACCGATGAAAAAAGAGCCTGCACATCCACTAGTTGTGTATGGACTGAGGAACAGCAGCCATTGTGTTAGTTACTTTTCTATTGCTGGGATAAAACACCACAGCCAAGGCAATTTATTTTAAAAAACAAATAAAACAACAACAACAACAAAACATTTAACCCGGCTCATGG